CTGGTAATGGATTGATACTAGCGCAGTAGGATGAAAATTTTGTTTCTATCCTTGAAGATCAGTATGCATTTCACTGAATTGTGTTAAATACATTTTTGGGGGGAAATGAAAAAGAGAATAGATAGACGTGCACTATGAAATATTTCTCAACCTCTTGGTGTTGACTGTCTGTGACTTCCCGGATAATCATGTCAGATTTAACAAATGGATTGCCTTATTGCAGTCAAATTGCTAACTTTACACTGATACACATGCATATGTATGTCACCACATCTCGGGAAAATGGTTCCCTAAGAGACAGTCTCACCAATTCCCTACAGGGGAACCCTACAGGGTACCAAATGTAGAACCAGATAATGTTCCCATATAGAATAATAATAATTATGACAATAATGTATTTGAATACAGAACTGTCATGCTTTGAGAAGCATAACATAGAGTCCTTGCTGGTGTGTGTGTGTGTGTGTGTGTGTGTGTGTGTGTGTGTGTGTGTGTGTGTGTGTGTCAGAGAGAGTGGTGTTCCACACACATTTTGATTTGTGAGTGTGTCATTAAAGCAAGATAACAAAAATTGCTTTGCATATGTGAAAGCAAAAGGCAGTATCTGAAAAAGTAAGTCCTATAAGCTGCACTTTCTCCACTCACAAAAGGATATGCATAAACTCTTATGTTAAATGTCGAACAAAACAGTATTTAACAGCATGTCTGGATAGTTTCCTCTTCATTGCAAGTTAAGGACATTGTTGCTGCTTGTCACTGACACAGGAAGCTCTAGACATTGGTCAGGCAACCTGTCATTGTCTGCCAGGTCTCAACTCCACTTATTTGAGCCGCTGAAATGGACCATTTGACTGTGTTTGTATTGTTGGTGCCTTTTGAGCACCTGAAAAATTGTCTGGTTTTCTCTGTTTCTAACTGTACCAATAAACTATCCAAAAAGTCTGTGCTTGAGGTTTGGTTAATAAAATTATAGCAGTTTAATAGCTACTAGTTAGTAAAACAAACAGCACAGCACCAGTACGTTGATGAGTGCAACTTGCCAACTATACTTGCTTGCCTTAGCAAGTGCTTTAGCCATGCATCTATCCATCCATTTTCTTCTGCTTATCCAAATTCATAGTTGCAGAGAGGTTGGAGTCGATCCCAGCTGTCAAAGGGTCAGAAGTAAACCCTGTACAGATTACCAGGGAGACAAACAATCATTCATGCTCATTTACACGTATACCTTGGAATCACTAATAAACCTAACAAGCATATCTTTGTACTGTGGGACAGAGTGCACACAGACATGAGAGGGAACATGCAAACTCTACAGCTGACCGGAGGATTCCAACCTAGGATCTTCTTGCTATGAGGCAACATTGCTAGCCTCCACGCTGCTCTTTGTCCAAATCATTCAGTCATTTTTGCCTCCAAAAAAATGCGGCATCCAATCTATGAATGTTGAGACCTCAGAATGTGAAATCCAGAACTAAGGTGCAATGACACAGTAGCATGTTCATCTTTTATGTACAGTCTATGTGTGAAAGGTGTAATGCAGCAGGAACGTGTTTTGTCAGTAGCAACTCTCTCTGTTTCCTCTCTTTCATTGTGTCTGTTCATGAAAGTTTGCATGCAGGCACTGTTGATCGTGGCCTATCAAGTGTCATCTGATTTGCATTCAGTGGATGCGTCATTATTCACAACATTTGATGTCCACAAAAACACATTAGACCTCCCTGTTTTGGTGCGGAGTGGCGTTGGCCGCAACCGCCCAGACATCATTTGTGCACCCAGATAGTCAAATGTAAATTGATATGTAAGAAAATGCCCCATTAACTTTTTCATTAATGGTTATAATGCATTCTGAGTGTCATCCGCGGGGCGGTGCGCTTCCCTGAGCAAGGCCGCACACACATGTGCTGCACACACGAACAACAAGGTCCCAAATACACAGAGAAACAGGCGCACAAATGTATGCTGATAATTCACTGAGGAAATCATGAAACACACTAAGAGAGAATTATTTACACACCTCCATCACTAAACTTCACATGTATTTATCTGAGTAGAATACCATTTTAAAGCAATTGTTTTATCACCTTTTCTTTTGGATTTTATCAATTCAAGCTTACAGATGTGTTAACAGGTATCTGAATGGACTCATGGTGGGATTAGTTTCCACATCCTTCCATTCGAGTTGCAGACCAGTGGCCTTGAGTGTGAGATGGCTCACCTGTGTTGTCACGCACAGACTCTCAGGTTTCTATGAGCTTGGAATTTGTGCTTTTTCTTTGCTAATGAATTTGACAAAGATACACCAATTAGATCAGTCCCAACTTCTGATGACTTTGTATAAAGACTTGCTCTCTTGATAACTCTCTGCATTCATATTAATAGATTGAACTTAAGAACTTAGTAATTGAGAAAAATGCAGGTTATGAGTGTTGTTGTATGAGGTTTTTTTTTTTTATAGATTTTGATTTTACTTATTTATTTTTTTACTATGCAATATAAAGGAGGCCTCTTTAGGTTAATTACAGTTATAGTTTACTGCTGATTGATAAATGCAAGTTATTCACATCCTCCCTTTGTTTCTACTGCACATCCCTGTTTGGTGTACAGTTTTATGCAGTTTCACTTAATTTAGCTTTTATATATTATATGTACTGTTTGTATATTGTTTTTAATGTGCATTCTGTTATTAGCATTGTTCAATTCTTTTCTTCTACTTTGTTATTTGGCCACAATTGAATGAGCTGGTGGATCAGTAAGGTATGCTAAGTCCAAAGTCAGCATCACAAAGGTGGCGAGATCATCACGATAACTCATACTAAACACATTAGCCTGCTGACCTGTTGGACACATGCTTGCATTGCCTGACAGGTTGACAAGTGGTTGCTGGAGGTTGTTGACAGTTGCAAGCTGAAACCGACTGCAAAGAGATACACAGTACTGCACTGAAAAGGTTCTTGTAACTGCTTTGGTGGCTAGTAGGTTGCCATGGCCACCTGTAGTTTGAACAGAAGAAACCTGCTCTGCAAACTCACTGATTAGTGAAACTGTGAAAAGTGTGATGTAAATGATGTAAATGTTTCCCTTCAAAGTAAAAGTTGCATTTTTGGAAATGTGTTGCTACAGTGGTAAAGGTTTTTACTTTGAAGGTTATATCTACCAGGCTGTATTTCCAGTTTGCATCATAGTATTTTTTAGGTTTCACTACCACTCCATACATAATTGGCAAGTGCTTGCAGACATTTTGTTCATAGGGCTACACCATAGCCACAGAGTAGATTTAACACAGTACATCAATCTATGTGACAGTGTCATACCCACATGCGATGTTTTATTAAATCAGGTTTAAAGTTTCACATGAGAAACATTACAAATAATTGCTCCCTTGTCTTCTTCTTTCCCTTTATATTCTTTATAGATCTCTATCAGTAGTTTCTCTGATCATGTGATTAGTTCATTTTATGCAGAAGAGGAGTCAAACAATAGATTAAGTGGGAATACAAACTGAAGTAGAGACAAACAAAGTTTAGGACCTCCAGTGTGACACCCTTTATGTTATCTGTCAACTAACACAAACAGCTACAGGGTGTTGAAGCTGCTTCATAGTTCACTCCTCAGGTGACAGCAGAAAACAAATAGAACAGTTGTATAATGGCTTGTGTTATGTTTCAGTTGTATTCTTTTACTTAATCGTCATGGATGGAGGTAGCTGTCTTTTTGTCCTCTATCCTGGTTCTTTACTTTATCTTTCTGCTCTTTGTGTTTATAAGAACATTTTGTGTTTTTGTATATATTTTCTTTGCTGTTCGCATGTTGTTGCTGTGTATTAGATTGAAAAACAAAACACCCAAGAAACTCTCTGAAAAGAAATGTGGTCAGATTCCAGGTTTTGTCTTTTCAGTACCGACACCATTTGTTATAATTGCTCATCAATGCAGCTTAAACTGGACCTTTTTCAACCAGTGTGGACAAACTGTAATAGTGAAACATTTACATTTGAGTTTCAGTTAATGAAATCATTGCATTTTGTGAGGCAAACGTATCTTCAAATGTTTTATTTTTTAAACCATGTTTTTAAAGTCCTGGTTACAGCAAATAGAAAAAAAATAATTAAAAATATTTATCTGATAAACAATTACATGAAGAAAATCAGTCATTTTAATTATAAGTTGTCCTGTTATCTCCTTTTCAACGTGTAGTACCTCCCACCTGTTTTTCTTTTTTTTTAATTTGTCTGTCCACACACAAGCTAACAGCATATATACACAAACACACCAATACTCCCACCAGCAATCACCGCCAGAGGTAATATGTCTATTGTTCGACCAGCACGTCAAGCACTTATCCCTGAGTGTTTGCAGGCTGCTGAAAGGAAAGAATTAAAGGTGAGTGTGTATGTGTAAATCATTCACACACACAGGTCGCTAGGCTGCAAAACCATGGCAACATTTACGGGATCAAGCACGAGTGGCAACTGTGTGATTTCAGTTTATTCTGACGTTTGTGTGTTTATGAACAGGTTGAAGCATGGAGACTGTAGATAACTTGGCACAATAACTAAGTTGGCCATGGAGCAGATGGAAACAAAAACAATAAAAAAAGAAACAAAACAATGGTGCAGATATTAGAGAAGAGCACAGTGAGATCCATGGATGCTTAGGTGAAGTTATTATCCAGTTATGGCACGCATAATGGCAACAAAGCTGTACGGTAAATTACAAACAGAAAACAAAGACCTGAGTTTTATGGGAGCCTTTGAGTCGCTTCAGGCATCTTAACTTTTTGTTGAAAAGGATTCTTCTTCTGCTTTTTGATTAAATGATGGTGTAGACGTCTATGAAAAGAAAGAATGAAAAGAAGAGTCAGTGTCATGTACAAATCTAGTGGCTTTCACCTGCACAAACTATTTTTACATTACAAACTGCATTCTGGAATAACAGCACAGATCATTACAATTTGCCTTTAGATATATTTTAAAAAATGCTTTTATTTTGGTTTGATTTTAGGACGCAAGCTGGAATGAAAAGCTTGGTGGTGGGCTGGATCCACACCTGGACCATATTTCACCAGGGTGCATACTAGAGAATGGATTGGATCATAGGTGAAAGTGTATTCTTACCTGGATAATGGTGAGCATATATATGTATATCTACATATCTATATAAATGTATATATATTTATGTGTTAATTTATGCTTAATTACCGGTAAACTGAACTTTAGTTAATAATTATTTGCTATTTACAGTTAAGTGATAATTAATGTTTACTTACCATCTTTAACATCTTTAATCAATGGAAACTGATGTTTATGGTTTTTGATGTATTTCACTCACAGTTTAGTTTTATAAGCACCCAAACAAGCTTTAGGAAGAGCTCAAGGGTGTAAATGCTCATAGGACTGTAGGACTTTAGTGTAATTATGCTTAATAAAAAGAGCTAGGTTTAACCCTAACCCTGAGGTGTCCTTCGTCCAGGTATCTACCTGTGAATGACTGGAATAGTGAGTAACGATTGTGTCACAGCATTGATGCTAAAGTAAACCCTGTGACTATTTCTGCCAACAGTATTTGAAGTGCTCTAAATGAGAAGGGGATCAGTGATGAGTTGAAAAACCATTATCACAAAACGACAGTCGCATTCCCTAATCATTAGTACATATTATAGAATAATGTAAAATGTCCTTCAGAATGTCATATTTATTCTCTCTTATCAGCAGTGATACAATAGATAATATCCTTCCATAGATTCAGCAACTGGCATATTCTTTTTTACAAGGCCATCCTTGATCTGCTCCCATCTGACTTTGTATAGTTTGCTGTACGCAATTTTGTGGACACTCTTGCAAAACATATTTTAAATTTCATGATAAAAATGCATTAAAAATACCTTTGATGTTATTAACGAGAACACATTCAAAACTAAATGAACTACACATGTGTCTCATAAATCCCTAAGATGCACCAGAAGGGCCGTCAAAGCTGGTCATATATGCCTGGACAATCTTTGAGTGCATTTCCTAAAAAAGAATATAGTCAATGTAAATAGAGCCTGCAAATCTAAATAGACATTGCTACTCGGCTAAAGGAACATAATCTAAAATTCTGGATAGTTGCTTTCATGCACTGCAACATTACTGAGTGATTTTAAGGTGAAAGCCAGGATGAATATACTACATACTCGTGTAGTATGAGTAAGCGTTTCGGTTGTCTCTGGTGTCTGTACTGCTGTTTTATATTTGCTGCATCTGTTTCTGTTCATGGCTTCATGCACCAATAAGACAAGTGGTTATTAAAAAAACAAAAAAAAGAAAAAAAGTTTGTGGGAACAGAAGAGATTTTAAATTCTCCGGATTCAGCCCTAAAAACATAAAAAGGGACAATAATTCAGACTAAACAGGAAGCCACATTAATAGCTGTCCCCTGTCGGGCAGCTATCAGTCAGTGTTAGCGAATCCACAAAAGTTTGGCAGCCATCGCATGAACAGCTGGAGTTGTGATCATTCTTTCCATTTTCTTTGACACCTACTTAGAATAGATTAATGAAAAATGAAACGCCTTTCAGATGTTCTTTCTGCACTTGCTCACTCACTCCGCTTCACTCGTGCTATTAAATGTACTGTTAAGGAGTGAAGACATTAACAAAGTGCAACAGATAATGTGGACATTTTGTGCGTAAGCCGCGATATGAGAGATGTATTAATGGAGGGAAATTATTGCGCATTCAATTACGCCACAAAGCCTTCCAGAGAGGTTTGTGCGATTTTGCCGCGGCCTGTCACGACGGGGGTCCCCCCCCACCGCCACCACCACTACCACCACCTCGTCTGACTGATGAGCACCCTAATCTGCTAATGCTAATCTCAGCAAACGGAGTGGAGGTGGTTTCGATGTGTGTTTGTGTTTGTGTGTGTGTGTGTGTGTGTGGCGATGGTGGCGGCGGTGGTGGGGGGTTATCTGACGAGCCAAACGCCTCGACTCGCAGCTCGCTAACGGTGGCCAATAAAATTAAAGAGCCGGTGTGTGCCCGGGCGGCAGGGGAAGACGAGGGAGGAAATCAGAGATAGATAAACAAATAGAATCATAAAAAGGCAGGGCGCTGGTGAAGTGGTAATTCAGTGGGAGTTCATTAGGGGAGAGATGGAGGAATGAGGAGTGGAGGGCTAAACTGTGGATGACATTACCTCTAATGTGGCTCCCCTGCAGAGTTTGTGATAGGGTGGCCGTTCCCGGCGAAAATAGGGTTTTTAGCATGACGCCACGCTCACAAAGACAAACTCCCACTAAATAGGATTTTTTTTTCTTAAGCATTGTACTATTTTATTCCCGAAAAACATCTCCAAATGGGGTTTTCAAATGCGCTCAGGCATACAGCCAAGTTGAGACAACATGGACAAATGAGTTTTGTGGTGTGGCAAATTTGTACAGCGCAATGATGTTTGGAGCACTGAGCCTAAAGCAACATTTTTCTGTCATAAAAAAGAAAAAGAAAAAAACAGACCACCCATCAGTTGCATTCCATCAATTATACTAATATGAAACAGGACTTGTTCTGGACAGAGTGCAATTGTTGTCTGTCTAATGTGAAGCTGCTCAACATTCACTGACCAATTAACCTGTCAGCACTTTTTCTTGATGCTGAAATGTTCATTTTTCCTCCTCATTTTTCATGTCAGTGAGCATCATTTAATCACTTAAAGGGTCACTTCACCCAATTTACCAAAAAAGATATTTTCTCCCGTAGGTCTATCTGTATCTATCCATGAAGAAAGATTTGGATTTATTTGTTGAGATTGTCATTGTTCCCCAGACCTCTTTCTCTACCCTGTGCCTAATGTATTTCCACTTAACTTTTCAAGCCCTGTCATTTTTTACCTTTCTAACACATACCCTCGGGCATCCCAGTCCCCTGGCCAATCCCTTCTTATATACACCCATGTGTAGACAAGCTTCTACAGTAAGTCTGTCACAACCAAATCTCACTTCTTAAGAACGTGGTGACACATAATGTTAAAGGAAAATGGCAAAGGAAACTCAGCTGGGATCTTTATAGTGTTTTTCTGTTACATTTATAGATAATGGTGGCTCTAATCAAACACAAGATTCTTAAACTCTCAGTAAGGAGACCAGATCTATTTTCTTACTCCTCCCAGTTCAAGTTATCTATGGTGGGTGCTGCAGGACAAACAACTCTGGCTGCCATTCATCTGTAGTGAGTGTAGTGCTGTTTTTGCAGTTGTTAGCTGCTGTTGGCTGCTGTTAGTAAACCTTTCTTTGAAGTGTATGTAACAGTTATGTTGCCCCTTTCCTTTGCATTTTCGCTCCTTTGCTGAATGGGACCCTGCTGATAAAACTGATAAAACAGTTATGAACCTTCATATCTTGAGTCTGAAGGTGCAGACGCAAATTAAAATGAGTCTCCATGGCACTCAAACACCTATGAGCTCTCTTCTCCTCCATGTTTGGTCTACTATACAGTGGGGCAAAAAAGTATTTAGTCAGCCACCGATTGTGCAAGTTCCCCCACTTAAAATGATGACAGAGGTCAGTAATTTGCACCAGAGGTACACTTCAACTGTGAGAGACAGAATGTGAAAAAAAAATCCATGAATCCACATGGTAGGATTTGTAAAGAATTTATTTGTAAATCAGGGTGGAAAATAAGTATTTGGTCAATAACAAAAATACAACTCAATACTTTGTAACATAACCTTTGTTGGCAATAACAGAGGTCAAACGTTTACTATAGGTCTTTACCAGGTTTGCACACACAGTAGCTGGTATTTTGGCCCATTCCTCCATGCAGATCTTCTCGAGAGCAGTGATGTTTTGGGGCTGTCGCCGAGCAACACGGACTTTCAACTCCCGCCACAGATTTTCTATGGGGTTGAGGTCTGGAGACTGGCTAGGCCACTCCAGGACTTTCAAATGCTTCTTACGGAGCCACTCCTTTGTTGCCCGGGCGGTGTGTTTTGGATCATTGTCATGTTGGAAGACCCAGCCTCGTTTCATCTTCAAAGTTCTCACTGATGGAAGGAGGTTTTGGCTCAAAATCTCACGATACATGGCCCCATTCATTCTGTCCTTAACACGGATCAGTCGTCCTGTCCCCTTGGCAGAAAAACAGCCCCATAGCATGATGTTTCCACCCCCATGCTTCACAGTAGGTATGGTGTTCTTGGGATGCAACTCAGTATTCGTCTTCCTCCAAACACGACGAGTTGAGTTTATACCAGAAAGTTCTACTTTGGTTTTATCTGACCACATGACATTCTCCCAATCCTCTGCTGTATCATCCATGTGCTCTCTGGCAAACTTCAGACGGGCCTGGACATGCACTGGCTTCAGCAGCGGAACACGTCTGGCACTGCGGGATTTGATTCCCTGCCGTTGTAGTGTGTTACTGATGGTGACCTTTGTTACTTTGGTCCCAGCTCTCTGCAGGTCATTCACCAGGTCCCCCCGTGTGGTTCTGGGATCTTTGCTCACCGTTCTCATGATCATTTTGACCCCACGGGATGAGATCTTGCGTGGAGCCCCAGATCGAGGGAGATTATCAGTGGTCTTGTATGCCTTCCATTTTCTGATGATTGCTCCCACAGTTGATTTTTTCACACCAAGCTGCTTGCCTATTGTAGATTCACTCTTCCCAGTCTGGTGCAGGTCTACAATACTTTTCCTGGTGTCCTTCGAAAGCTCTTTGGTCTTGGCCATGGCGGAGTTTGGAGTCTGACTGTTTGAGGCTGTGGACAGGTGTCTTTTATACAGATGATGAGTTCAAACAGGTGCCATTCATACAGGTAACGAGTGGGGGACAGAAAAGCTTCTTACAGAAGACGTTACAGGTCTGTGAGAGCCAGAGATTTTCCTTGTTTGAGGTGACCAAATACTTATTTTCCACCCTAATTTACGAATTAATTCTTTACAAATCCTACCATGTGAATTCATGGATTTTTTTTTCACATTCTGTCTCTCACAGTTGAAGTGTACCTCTGGTGCAAATTACTGACCTCTGTCATCATTTTAAGTGGGGGAACTTGCACAATCGGTGGCTGACTAAATACTTTTTTGCCCCACTGTATATGTGGCTGGCTACATAAAAAGTGATTAGGTGTTTAAAATCAATG